TACCTTCCATCTGGTTAGGGTTCTTGGTCTTGAGTGGAGATGGAGGGACCAGAGAATTGGTCTAGGCCTGTATTCCTGAGGGATGTAGTACATTAATGCTTGCCTAAAGAGGACTGTAGTAGTTTCATTTACTACTGATCCAGACAGTGTGGGGGAGGATCCTTGGAGATCCCTGGGCTTCACTCATATTTCTTTCAGCATCATTTGGCGCTTAAGAGATGATGATGAGGTAGTCCTGGTTTCTGCAGATTGGATTGTGGCAGTACATTTAAAGATATATGCCTATTTCTGTCCCGTGAAAGCAAACTCTTTCTGTTTAGAAAGGAGAAATGCATTATTAAGATCTAAAACTGTATTCAAGTAGATGGATTGTATTAGTTGGCTCCAAGAAAGACAAGATGTGGAATAATAGAAGAATTTGGGGTTACTCTTTAAGTTACACTGATCAACCCTAACTCTCTCTATAAGACCCATTAAACTTGAATATTGACAGATTTGGTTATTAAACAGGGATGTGGTAGGAATCACCACATATGCATATTAACGCTTTTTGGCATTGAATTTTGAAAACTACCCCAAATCAGGCCTAGCAGTGGTATGTATGTGTGTGTGTATGTATGTATGCATGTATGTATTTAAGTAGGCTCCATGCCCAGCGTGGAGCCCAACACAGGGCTTGAACTCACAACCTGGAGATCAAGACCTGAGCTGAAACCAAGAGTCGGACCAACTGAACCACCCAGGCACCCCTACCCGTGGTACTGATTTTGATTTTTCTCCCTAATGGGGAGATAGAGTTCCATTGGCTTCCATATAGTTCTCCCCAGATAATATCCTTCATGTACATGTTAGGGAACCAAAAGGATGTTCTACTATTTTCTGTGAAAATATATTTCCTTTAAACTTTCAGAAACTGGGTGAGAAATCATAGGCTGGCTTTGCTCTCCCACTGGGTGAACTAAGTTAAAAAATTCATTTATCACTGAGTCTCCATAATTAGCAACAACAGTATATTTCTAGGCTTCCCAAATTAGTAGTAACTCAGAGCCAATATTCAGTATTCTCACAAAGTTTGGGTATTTCCCTTTCCTCAGTGTACCTGGATAAATAAGTACTTGTCCTGTAGAGAAGAATCTGAGGAAACTTTATATTAGACATGTGTGGTGTTACAGCAACATCTGTGCACTGTATTGTCTTTATTCAAGGGACTCTGAGTCTGTAAATTGACTTCATTGTGGAAATGGGTGAGATGCCATGACTGTCTATGTGGTGGCTTGAGTTAGTCTTTTTCAGGGACCTGTAATATTTTTGGTTATAGATTTCAAAAAAGGCTTGAGTTTGATAAACACATTATAGGACCTTCTTAAAATTGAATACTACTCTAACAACAACAACAAAAATGAACCACTGGGAAAAAAAGGGTCTTAATGAGTCATTCATTTCATTCCTGGGGATCCCATTAATCATAGCTTAAAATCCGTGAGAATTAGACGGTTACCTGAGATCTGGTTACTATAAAAGTTCTACTGTTTTTTTTTTTAAGATTTTATTTATTTATTTGACAGAGAGAGACACAGCAAGAGAGGGAACACAAGCAGGGGGAATGGGAGAGGGAGAAGCAGCTTCCCACGGAGCAGGGAGCCCGATGCGGGGCTCGATCCCAAGACCCTGGGATCATGACCTGAGCCGAAGGCAGACGCTTAATGACTGAGCCACCCAGGCGCCCCAAAAGTTCTACTATTTTAATACTCATACATACACATTTTGATTCTAGGGGTTAAATTGTGACCATGTGGACTTCGCCATCCTGGCTTCCTCTTATCTCTGAAGAAAGGGCTGTGTTGAAGTTGAATCTTGGTTATTTAGTAAGTGAAATAGGGATTAGGGTGTGGTGGGATACATAGGAAGCTCAGTGAGGAGTGTTTTAGAAAAGTTTGGAGGTTTAAGTATATCCAAGCCTTCTAGACTTTGCTAGTAACCTCATTATGTAACTTTGTAATCCCATTCTTTGTGATGAATATCTTTGCTTTTATGCATACTCATTTGTTACTGTAATTTAAAACCTACAGAATCAGTCCCTGAATTAGATTCTTAGTGGTTAAGCCTCACAGATATAAGAAGAAAGAAATTCTTTCTGCAGAGTCCCAAGGACCCTGAATTTTATTCTTTACCCTGAGATGGAAATTTTGAGGTTTAAACTTATCATTCTCTTATTTTAAATTATCCAGTGCTCTTAGAAAAGCCATCTTATATATGGTTTGGCATTCCTCCTTCCTGTTCAGTTGGCCTAGGGCAGCAGCTATCCAGTCCACCAGAGTGTCACCTGCAGTGGGCACAGGGTCCCATTTGCCTGGAGGGTTAACTTGATTAACCATCTGTCACCGTGTACAATTTTATTGTTATTTAACCCTGCCTAGAGTCTTACTGCTTTGTGTCCCAACTCAACTCAAGAACCAATTTCCAAATATTCCTGCAGGAATTGGTACCTGCAGTTTATTCTCTGCTGCCAATTTCTTTCCGAAAATTTTTTTTTTGGTCACAAGTTATAGGAAACAACTCTGATAAATATAAATAAAAGAGGGATTGGAGTGAGAGTGGCATAGATCTCCCAAATGCAGGAAGAGTTTAATTGGCCAAACCTTAGCAGGGGATGGGAACAGCATGGCTCTAGAGACTGTATAGAACTCCTGGGGTCTGCCATCAGATCATCTAGCAGCGGATTCCTGGTGTCTCTATTCAGGATTGAAATTCTTAGGATAGTACCTCTCTCATATGGTTCTTATGAGGATTTAATGAGTTAATACATAAAAGTTACAGAGACCATTAGTTGGCATGCGATAAGCTCTCAGCAAATAAGTATGTAGAACTCCGGGGTGCCTGGGTGGCTCAGATGGTTGGGCGTCTGCCTTCGGATCGGGTCATGATCTCAGGGTCCTGGGATCGAGTCCCGCGTCGGGTTCCCTGCTCAATGCAGAGCCTGCTTCTCCCTCTCCCTCTGCCACTCCCTCTGCTTGTGCTCTTCTGTCTATCTCTCTGTCAAATAAATAAATAAAATCTAAAAAAAAAAAAAGTATGTAGAACTCCTAAGCAGATGGAAAAAGTCAATATTCTATACTAATACAGCAATTTCAAAACTGACACCTAAAGTATTAGTTTCCTAGGGCTGCCATAACAAAGTACCACAAATCGAGTGGCTTAAAGCAACAGAAATTTATTCTGACAGTTTTTAGAGGCTAGAAGTCGAAAATCAAGGTGTCGGCAGGGCCATCCTACCCCTGAAGCCTCTAGGATCCCTCTTTGCCTCTTCCAGCTTCTGGTAGTCCCAGGCATTCTTTGGCTTGTGGATTTATCACTCTAATCACTGTCTCCATTGCCACATGATCATCTTCTCCTTAAATGTCTTCACATGGCATTCTCCTCCCTCCCACCC